TTTATTGTTATTGTTCATCATGAAAACAGAACATCACCGTTGTGGTTTAACTCTAACCAGCAACCAAGCACCACACAGCTGCTCTCCTACTCCCCCCGATGTGTTGCAGGAGAAAATCGGAAGGGTAAAAGGGAGAAAACTTGTGGGTTGAGATAGACAGTAAAGCAAAAGCTGCACACACAGGCAAAGCAAAGCAAAGCAAGGAATTAATTCACCACTTCCCATCCGCAGGCAGGTATTCAGCCATCTCCAGGAAAGCAGGGCTCTGTCATGTGTTAACAGTGACTCAAGAAGACAAATGCCATCACTCCAATCATTACCCCCTTCCTTCTTCTTCCCCCCAGCTTTACATGCTGAGCATGACACCATACGGTATGGGATATCCCTTTGGTCAGTTGGGGTCAGCTGTCCCGACTGTGTCTCCTCACAACTTGTGCACCCCCAGCCTCCTTGTTGGTGGGGTGGGGTGAGATTCAGAAAAGGTCTTGACGCTGTAAGCACTGTAGTAACTAAAATGTCCCTGTATTATCAAGTATTTTCAGCACAAATCCAAAACATAGCCCTATGCTGTCTACTGTGAAGAAAATTAACCCTATCTCAGCCAAAACCAGCACATAACCTTTGGAAAGCCAGTTGTTCTAGAGGGATTTATTTTATGCTTACAACATGGTTGAATTGGTCAGTAATTATAGCAATGTTTGCTCTAAAAGAGCACTTTCAAACTGCTTTTTATCCTTGGACATAACACAAGTGTGTAAATGCACAGATTATAAATTCTTACAATACTAGTTTTTAGTCTTTAGTCTACAATTTCAAAGTTTTGTTGGTTTTTTTTTTTTAATTTGACTTTCAATAGAAAATAAGTATGTTACTTCTTGTTCCTGTAGGCTTTTCCTTCTTCAAAAACTTGAAGGTGAATAAGATCTCAACCAAACACTTGATCTGTTTAGAGGGGAAGGAGAAAGAGCACAAAAATCATTGCAGCTGCACAACTATTGTTTGCTTCAGTAGTGACACTTAATGTTACAATATGTCTGTTCTTGAGGGGAGAGAAGAGAAGGATTCTTCTGACATGATTTAATGATCCATAGCCATTTACACCAGTTGCTTAGTAGGAGAACTCTGCTACAGCTTTTAAACTGTTGGCTGAATTACAAACACAAGCACCACTTGCCTTCTGTTGAAGGCAAGCCTCGTGTCTTTGCTTCCTAATTGCTTCATGGAACTTCACCACACCCAATGCACAAATACAACATGCAGGACTAGGGATATTTTATACCTGTCTTTTTTTTCCCCCTTTTTTAATATAACTCCAGCTCCTAGTTTACAGTTTCCTCACAACTATCTTTGAACTTCATGCTGCTATTTTTAAGGAAGCTGGAGCTCTCTTTAGAATTTTTTTTTCTTACTTGGAAAATGAATCAGTGGAAAATGGGATCACAGACTCTCCTTCCTCTCTCCCAACCACTGTGGTCTAAAACAAGAGTTATAGTATTTCCTAGTTGAAGATAATCTTACAAATTGATGTACATGCTGCATTTTTCTAGAATTCTAGTTATGTAAATAAAAATATTTACTTGATTTGCTTGGGTTTTATATATCTAAGCAAACTGATCTATAGTGGTGCTATAAAGCAGTGCAGAATGACTTAAACCAGTAACTGTGGAAATGCGAATATTCCTCTCTGTGTGTGTCTGTGTTTGTTTTGTTTTAAGGCATGTGTATACACTGCTGCAAAGAATAGGTCTTCCCTTTCTACCCTTTGCAGCCCACATTCAAAGAAACTCTGAGCATGCTTATGCATTGTGTATAATGTGTTCTTTAGTCAGCCATAAAGAATAACCTGTAAAAAGTTGAAAACTGGATGTGCGCATGGACACAAGTCATTACCTTGCATGTCTCTTCTTCCTGACTTACTGATTAAAAGCCCGTGTTAGGTCAAATACTTGGTGGCTTTCTGGGATTGTTGATTTCTCACTGATCTGTGAAAACCAAACCCTGGGATGATGTATTAAGTGTGGAGTGCTTGCTGGCAGTTCAGGCTTCTCAAGCCACCCCTTGCTAGGAGTTCCAGTGATATTTAACACTTCTGCCACCATAACTGCTCATGTGGAAAGCAGTTGGAGACAAGGAGGAAAAGTAGATCATGGATGGACTTCAGCCCATATGTAAATGAAGGCAGTCAAATTAAGCTCACAAAAATCAAAAGAATGAGTAATTAATAGATGTTGAAACCTGTGAGTGGAGTTGTCCACTTGCATCCATTAGTCTTGGATTCTGAATGTGGAAGCAATGGTTTGGGACGGGATCTTCATCTGCATACAGTGCCAATGATACCAGGCTTACTACCACAACATTTAACTACCTGTAACAGCTAAAATTATATTGGCTTTTCAGGAGTCCTAGATCTCACAGACAACTGGTGGGGGTTTTTTGCAGTTGTGGGAGCTCAGGATATTTAAAAATTGATCTTCTAAACTTTGCCTGTTGGCTCACAGAAACTAATTAGCATTTGGAAATATGTATATTATCATGTTACTTATTTCAGTGAACAGTTTTAGATCCATCAGCAATGAGTCTTTCATTCCTTTTAAAATTCTTTGAACCCTGCAATTCTGGGGAGGCTATTAAGAATCTGAACCTTTCAGGAAAGTAGCAGCCAGCCCACCTCTGCTGGAATGGCTCTTGATGCAACCACAGTCTTCTAGTATATTGCAGTGTGATTTAAAATCCCTTTTATTTGCTGGAAGATCAGAAACGAATGTTAACCAGGAACACCAGCTCTTGAGATGAATTGTGTCCAACTGTGTAGTCAGAAGACGAATTGCTTTTGAGAAGGGAGTTTCATCTTCAAATTGTTCTGATGTGATGGACAGAAAGTCTCCTCAGTTTATGTATGCGGACCATAATAAATGTCTTCAAATCTTGCTTCCTGCACAGAGATGTCTTCTGATTCTTTAGGTGAAGCAATATAGTTGGCACATATACACGAATGTAGTCTTGTTTCAAGTTAGTCTCACCTGCTGGAATTTTGATATACAAAGATTTCAGAGTTACCCAGAAGAAATACTTACAATGAGTTATCCCTGAATATCCACTAGTCATCTTCTAAGATGACTGGAGTGTTTTTTCCTCCCCTGACTAAATGTTTTGCTTAGCTATCCCTGATGTTTGGGGAAGGGGAGTTCTTATTTGCTGGTGGTGATTACTTTACATCCTTAGGAAACTGGATAAGCCAGACTTTTTTTTTTTTTTTTAATGAGATGGCATTATTTCTGTAATAGATCAGATTCTTTGTGTAATAAACAGTGAATGTTTTCATTTTCTACCTAGTTGATATTTATATTTTAACTGATAGAATATTAAGATGGTATTTGTTCAATCTTAAAACTGAGGGGAAAAATATTTATCACTGACTTATTTCTTTGTTACTGCCTTCTTTCAGAGAGAGGGTGTGGGCAAATAGATACCAACCAATATAAACAGAGTGTTTCAAAGTCCAGCTTTCAAGCAGTCTTCAAACTTCTTACGTGTATTAAAGATTTCAATCATTAATATTTAATACTACTCATGTAATATATGACTGCATGTCTCAAATATAAAAGATCACAAATATAACCTGATTTAGTTTCATGTGTGAAATATTGCTGTATTTTTGGATTCTATTTTTAGTACCTATCAAAATGCAGATCTCGTGCTGATAGTGGTGGAGGGAAGGAAGGAAATTAATTGTCTCTAAGTGGCATCTGTACTGTGTGTATTTAAGAATGGTGTGACCTTTACTGTTGTTAGAAACTCTCAGCCTTTTTCTTCTTAAATTTTATTTACTAGAAGCTCTTTACTAACAGCTGGTCTCTCAGTTTAGGCAGGGCAGCAAGTGGGAGAAATAATGCAATAGTAGTCTCACAGATTCTAGCTTCTCATGCCCATCAACTGCATTCTTAAACAAGATGTACACGCCTTTGGAAAATGATGGGTTTTATCTCTTCCTTTTACTGCTGACAAGAGTATTCAGCACTGAAGTGAATGCCATGATCATGGTGGAACTGCTTTGGGTTTTTTCTTGGAAATGAGCAAGGAAAAAGGTTAGTTCATCTGTCTGCTGCTTTTTCAAAACCCTTTTTCAGGCAGGATAGAAGAACCTCAAATTTAAAACAATTATGTAGGATAAGACCATGACTTAATCTTTGGGAGAGTCAAGACTTTGCCTAATCCTGAAAACATCCCAAATGTCAGTCTGCAGTGAAAACATCTGTTTGCCTTACCAGACAATGATTAAAGGCTAAAGTGCCACTTACTTTCAACTGCTTTTTTTAATTGTCTCTGAATTGGAGACACATACTTAATTAACCCTGCTGAAATGTATACATGGTTCAAGGACAAGAGTAACCTTTCTGAAGAAATGTGCTACAGTTTGTTTTTTCCAGAGACCTGGCCTGTCTGCAATACTTAACTGTTTTCTGTCCTGAAGATCTTTTACTTACACATCAATACAGTGCATATAGTTAATAAAGCTTACTGAATGTAGCCACACAGAACTGCAAGTAACTTCTAAGATGTCATTGTCCCATTTAATCATGCCTGTTTTGGTTGGAAGGAGTTTTGTTTATATTTCAGCTATAGGTGAAATGAAAATTTTTGAAGGAAGTTATTTAATTCTTACTTTGTTCCCTATCAAAAGCTGAGACACTGCTCTTGTCACTTCCCTACTTCCACTGGAGACAGGGTAAGGGTACCCCATCCCTTTCTTGCCCTTGGAGTTCTATTTCCAGCCTCTAAGCAAAGCAGGACCACACTTTTCTAGACTGTTCATGGCTGATTCCATATGAAAATTCAGTGGCAGAATTCTGCTGTTTCAGTGTCACAAAATACATTTATGAGAGAAAACTCCATGCAGTTAGTTCTTCTCAGTGTGCTAGTAGGAAACCTTTGACATGCTGTCATCATATACATCATCTTTTACATTATAACTATTTATTCTTATCTCTTTTCTCCCACAGGCTCTTCAGAGTAACCTGAAGTATTCTCTATTGCCAAGACGGCTGATCATCAGTAAAAGATTATCTCAGTGTTTGCATCCAGCACTACCTAGTGGAGTGCATTTAAAGGCACTAGAAACCTATGAAATAATCTTTAAAATTATTGGGACAAAATGGCTTGCCAAGGATTTATTCTTATACAGGTAAACTTTTCTTTAAAGGTGCATACATTTCACAGTCTGTTTTAATTAACTAATTTCTTTTCTTATCTTTTTTTTCTTTTTTCAAAACAAAAGCTCTGGTTTGTTTCCTCTGCTGGCAAATGCTGCAATGTCAGTGAGGCCTGTTCTCCTTGGTTTGTATGAGAAATACTTTCTTCCTCTCCAAAAGTCCCTCCTGCCTGGTCTTCAAGCCTTTGTAATTGGACTGCTACCTGGGTTGGAAGAAGGATCAGAAATTTATGACAGGTGAGAACTAATACTAATTTAAAAGCAATATAAAGTATTTAGCTTTCCTAGGGAATTCTCAAGAAATTTCTGCCAGCTATCTATATAGAAAACTTGACAAAAGAGCTGCTGAGGGTAGAAGAATGATAAGTCCCTGAAAGATGCAACAAATAGTGCTAAAGTAGAAAAATCCTTTCCCCTTCTTTTTTCATCTCGGGAGGAGAGAAGAGGAAAAGGAGGGTTAAAAATAGATGTGCTGAGAGAAAGGAATAAAAGCTCTTTTCTAAAGCTCCTCTGAATTCCTAAATAATTAACCTGACTCCCCAAACCACTGCTTTGTTGATAAATTCTATTTAAATATTGTAACAAGAGAGAGCAGCTGAATTCTGTCCAGTCTTTCTATACAAGATATTTACCCTCAGGTTTTGAAAACATGAGCAAGACCTAACTCACAGAAAATCTATTGTGGAAAAAAGTATCTCTCACTTTTGGGTGCCCCTGGCAGTAATGGCAATGACATTCAGTGTGATAAAGTCAGGATCAGGAAGTGTGCTGAGAAGAGCAGCTCAGCACTCTTTTGTGTATTATTTTTACTTCGGTTACTAGAACTGTTTTGCAAGATCTTATACGAACTCAGCCACTGTAGGTTTCATCCAAATGTTTCATTGCTTAAAGAGTCACTAAACATTGCAGTGGTAATGTACTTCCTTCTGTGTTACCAGTCTGGATGAGTTAGCTGTTCTCTCTGCCCTTTTTAACTCTTAGATAGCTGTGTGTACACTTGGAGAAAAAAGAAAAAAAAAACCAAAAACACAACAGATATGCTAGGCTGCATAGATTGCAGTTGATAAGCAAAATACTTCTATGTCTAATGCCTCTTTCAAAAAACAAGTATTAAATTGAAGGCTCGTATCAATTGCTGGAGTGGCTAAGAGCAGATTGCATGCATTCCCAACTTGGTGAGTATCATTCAGTTGCCAGTTCCAGAACATCAGGTCTATGGACAAGTATATACCTCTTATACATCTGCTGTAGAAATGTGAATTTTAGTGTGTACATTTTGTCAGGCAGGCTTAGAAGTAATGGTATTTCTTTTTCCTACAGTACTACTTGCTGGGGACTTGTGGAAGAAGGGGGATCCCTTGGAACTAAATCTCATGTCTGTCTGAATGCTTTTTAGGGAGACTGAATTTATTTTGAAACTGACTAAATTTGAAGTAGTAAATTAATGGGAACTGCAGATTAACTTCCAGGATTTGGCTTTTGTTTTTATATCTTTTTTCCCTGTTCTTGATGACATTGTTTTCCTCTTTGCCTTGAACAAACAGTATCACAGACAGGAACTGACCATATATTTCACTGTGAAAGACTTATGCTAAAATTAATTGAATGCTATTTTGTGAAATTAAAAAAAATACATGAGAAAGACTTTCTTTAGTTTACTCATCGTAATGATTCTGGTGCAAGAAAGATAGACCAAGATATCTTGTTGGAAGATGTGTTAGATCAGATTAATTTTAAATTCAGCTTCATGAGACACTCTCCACTGCAGGTTTTCAGAATCTTCAATATTGAGGACTAACACTAATACATCTCCTGCTGTTCCTGAAAGTGGCAGAAGTACTAGCTCAGATTGTTCTTCACTCTAGAAACTATTTCCTTCTTAAACACACACATATGCATAAGTTTTCACACACACACATGCAAAATGGTAAAGGAAAGTGGTTTGAAAGCTACTTTACAAAGACTGGGGGAGGGGAGGTGTCCCTCTTCTATGCTGGACTTCTTCTTTTCTCACTTTTACATTTCTCATGTAAGCTCTTAATTCCTACATTATAGTAAAATACTGGAGTTCTGACAGAATTGCCAAAGCAGAGAACGTGCTTTCAGTCATAGGACCTCCAGTGTAATTGCTTTTATACTAATTTCAGGGTACCAGTCCTGTGTGCAATAACTGACAGAGTGTCATTTTATTTCATGGGCTTTTTCACTGAGTGACTTACAAATTGAGCCTATTGATTTGTAAATACAGATATCTAGGATATCTTCCAGCTCCCAGACTGATAACATTGGCTTTCGGAGTCTAGCATCAGCTTAAATTATTTCCAATTATATATCCATATCTTCACTGGAGAAGTTTCCAAAGTGTGCACAGAAACTTTGTTTCAGTGAGTGTGCACAGTGACAAAGGATTGAGTGTTGTTTGATTGTTTTCATACAACCAGATGCTATCCTTCTTCACATGAAAAGGACAAGATGAGGAAATTATATAAATAATGTCAACTATAATATTCTATGTATAATTGCCTTTTTATTGTATAACTGAACTAACAAAAGATCTATTTTCTCATACCAAACATATTTCCATACAGAACAGATGCTCTGCTTGTGAAGCTCTCCTTATTGATGGGCCAAGAAATGTTCTATGGAGCGCTCTGGGGCAGTGTCCTGGTCAGCCCATCCATCAGGCTGCCTGCTTCTCTTTTTGTTGTCAGCCATATCAACAGAGAACTCTCTGGAAAAGAGCAGAAGTACATGCTTGGCATCGATTATAAGCTCACAGTAAGTTCATCACACTCCTTGTAGAACAGTCTTATCTACCATGATACCTGCATACCAGCAGATTGTGTCTTCTCTGTATTTAGTTAGAATGACATGCTCTTAGAAACATTTTGGAGAGAGAGAAAGAGATTCTGATGAAATTGCTTAATACAGTTGCATCTTACCTGAAATATAGAAGAGAATCTCCCGTACTGATTTTGGATAGCCTGCAGAATGCATCTTCTGAAGCTTCTGCAGTTTTTGGTAATTGGTACTGCATGCAGCCTTAAAAGACTGACTCTGTTTCAAATCAGAAGATAAATCTGACATCTTTTTTCTACTTGTTCTGAATTTGCATTTAAGATTGAAGACCAGCTTTTCTATAGTACAGTATATACAAATGTTTAATGTGGATCTCTCAAAGTGCTTGCAGTCCTGGAAAACAATTCTGAAATTTAGTATCTTTTTTCTAAGTAAAATGGATATCTTCAGTAAGTAGTAACTTATGTTACACTTGAGTGATGGAATTAACTGTAATTAGTTAGCTAGTTAGAGTACTTTAGTATCTGCAGTTTTGTGAATCTTCACATTCTGTCTGGTGATGTCACGCTGTGACATTCTGTATTGTTATAAAAACAAGTATGTTATAAATATTAATTATTCTTTTAACAGTATTCCACAAAAGTTTTTTTAAGTCTTTGGAGGCAGGAGTTAAATGGCTGAACAATTATCCTCTTATTTAAAAAGATATTGTTCGCATGTAACCAAGTTTGCTCTTTCATTCTTGTGATTATTAACAGTGATTGTAGTTTAAATGGTATCATGAAGTAAAACACCATTGTGCTTTCTTTTCCTTTTACAGATAAAGTCTTTGTGTGTATCAGTATTGGATTCAAATGTCCTTGTGCAAAGAAACACTCTAGAAGTGATTCTCTTCTTTTTCCCATTTTATACAGCTTTGGTAAGAGGACTGTTTTGGTATTGTCACATGCACACTTTGTGCAGGATGGTGTCTTCTATGAAACCAGTCCAGCTGCTACCTCTGTTATTGCCAAATATCTGAATTTTGTACCTTCAAATTCAATGACCAGATTTTGCAGTTTCTTGTCCCTCCATCAGTTTTAACAGTAGAGGAGATTCTGCTGCTTCTCAGACTACTTACAGCTTCAAATTAAGATGTGCTTTCACAATGAATATTGTGTGATATTTGGAATGTGCTTGAAGTATTCAGGCCTGAGAAACTACATATGGAAAAAATATCGAGCTCCTTTTTCAAATGGGATTTCAGCATTTGGAATTGTCTGCACTAAACAAACATGCTTCTATTATCTAGGACAGAAAATACTACTTGAAACAAGAGCTGTTCCCCATCATTTCCTAATTTACCTAGTAGTATAGTCTGTATTTTGAAAGTAGCAAGTAATTTTAAGTCTTAAGGCATAACATAATGTCATCTTTAGTATTTTTAGCTTAAATGTAGCTCTGTACCTTAAATATAAAAATGATCACGATTGTGCCAGATTCTCTTTCTTGATATTTTCAGTATACAAAGTATTTTGTTGTTGATGGTTTGTTGCCCTTTTTTTTTTCCAAACATTAATATTACCAGTTAAAAAAAACCCTCATTACCAATTTGACTTGTTTCAGTGTTCATAAACAGCTAAAGTATTTTTGGTTTTCATCCTAGGACTGCAAGGAAAGCACTATTCTATTGCGCAGGGCTGATTTAGTCTATGTTCTGTCAGCAGCTACACAGACATTGTTGAGGAGGGACATGTCACTCAATAGAAGATTATACGCATGGTTGCTAGGTACTGTAAAACATACAGTGATACTCAATATTCTTAATACCCAAGAGAAAAAAAAATCAGTGCTTGAAAATGTAATACGCTTTTTCAGCAGTTAATGATGATAAAATAAAGTGTTGTTTAGTTGCCATTTATTAAGTACCTGTTTAATAAAATTAAGCATTCATTTGGTAAACAGGTCTTCTCTTCAGAGGTTAATTCATTGCACTGTCCATTGCACAGGGTATCTGATGAGTTATTTCTGGTCCCATCCACGGTTCATTTGAAGTGGTTCAGTGAACTGAAAGGAGTGCGGTGCTATTTTAACCTTGTTCTGCTGGAAGTAATAGTCTATTAATTCCCATGTGTACTTAAATGTCAAGGAGGGGCTATAAGAGAGCTATAATTTCTCCCCATCGGCTTCGTTTTAACAGCGTAAGAGGAGGCTAAAACTGACAGGGCAAGAGCTGCAGCTATGTAGTTTCATGAAGGCTGCTCTTCCTGAACCTGTGTCTGGATCTGACCTTGGGTTTGGTTTATGTTCAGTATAGCACATCTGGGTGCCTCAAACTGTGATATGTGGGCTCTCCTTGGGAGTAGGTGAGCTAACTTCAAGCAAAGTGTTGAAATGACAAAGGTTAAAAATGCAGCGTAATTTCAGTATTTGTATAAATGACGTGTGTGTAGGGCTCTGTACTGTAGTGTTTGTACTTCTGATATCTCTGTTTATCTTGTAGGCTCTGATATTAAAGGTGGTACTTTTGCTCCAGACTCCACAACTTCTGAAGATCATGCTATTTATTTCTTTGGAAAATATTCTAAAGATCTTTTGGTTGAGGTTGGTGTTCATTGTATACAGATGTATTTATGATCCTTTTCAATGTTAGTGCAAGCTGCATCTAGTATTGTTCACTGTGCCACTTGGTTTGTCCTTCACTTTTGTTCCTTAAAGATAACATCCTTTTGGTGCTTATATTTTCATCTATCTGAATGCCTGCTGTGCTCTATTTATCCCAATATTGTATGTGCTTACAATACAAATGTCATCTAATGAAACCAAAGGGTAGTATCTTTGATGAACTACCTGAATTATTTAAAAATGCTTCTCTGAATAAGATCAGCTTTTCAGTACAGATGATGATGTCATTGATTTGTCTACCCTGTATGAAAAATTAAAGTTCAGTTCTAGTCAGTACTAAACAAAATCAAATTTAGAAACATTTCAGGTCTTAATAAAATGGCAATCTCTCTTCTACGTATAACATTTTGGCTTTTTCTTTTTACTAGAGTTTGACTGAAATTTTACATCAGAAATTCCCAGAGTCTGATACAGAGGAACAGCATCAAGCTTATTTGAAACCCTTCCGCATCCTGATCAGTCTCCTTGACAAACCTGAAATAGGTAATGTTGCTTGTCACTTCTGTTGTGAGTGCTAACAACTGTTACAACTTGGTGTTCATCGACCAGGACTCAAGACAACACCCTACACAATTCTTCCTAACTCTGAATATGTGTGTGTTGTGTATTAGTGTGCAGGGGTATGTGTTCCTTGTCTTGGACATGGTTCAGAACAGTGCTCTGGAGCAAGTGCTCTCTCCAGGTTATCTCTGCCTCTTCTGCAGAGCACTCCATGGTGTAGTGTGGACATATCCCAGTGGGGTTAACTCTCTTCCATGCCCAGAACTGTGATCTGAGGGGTCAGCTAAACAGAACCACTTCTGCCCTAGTCTCAATATTCTGCTCAATTCATTCCTTGGAGTTCATTCTCTAAAGTACTGTCAATTCTCTTTTTATTGTGTCTTAGAAAGCAGCTTCTGTCTGGAAAACCACCAGTACTACTCTTGCCTGGGTTTGTTTCCAGTGCTTGGCTGTGCTTGCCGGCCTTCATATACACTTGCATTGGATTCTAATGACCATGCTGCTTTTCCAGACACTGTAGTCCCACAGGCAGCCAGCCTGTGGTGGTACTGCTGCCAGAGTGGGCATTACCCCTTACCTGCAGGTGCTCCAGCTGGAAATAACCTGTTACGGGTGTGGGGAGGTAGGGGTGCCTCTGTCAGCGGTACTTCCAGCTTGTGCTGGCCTGACACTGGTCTGTGGGAGCTATAGTTTGAGACTTGAGACTGAGCCGTGAATAATTTCCTCCTCTTCCCTGACTGTCACATGTCTATTCTGTTGTATACATGAAGTTGCCAGCACCAGAAGGGTGAGGTCCTGACAGCCCTTATTTTAAAGAGCAAGTTCTCATTTCTTCATCAAAAAATTAAGCCAAAGCAACTTGACAGATTTTTAGGATTTAATAGTATTCTTTAAGAACCATGTACAGATAAATTTGAAATTATGTTCTGTTAATCTGACAGGTATGAGAAGCCTATGGACTGTTTAACTGGTATTTGTTAGTAGCTATTAGAGTCTTAATGACTGACTATCCCACAGTGTTGTTCTAGGTACTATCCTGGGTAAGAGAGTGATGTTACCATTGAGCAAGCTTGCAGACTTAGAATAAAACTCATGTACCAAACACTTGAGTGGTAGTTGGTTTTGCAGGCTCCTGTATTCTGGTAAGCTTATCCTCTTTCATGGGTCAGGAGTCCTTTTAAGCACATTTCCTGTGAAAGAATTATGTTTATAATTATAATTTATGCACTGCCAGGAAAACTGAGGATTCTGTATTGCTTGTCTAACAAATAAATTCTACCTTACTAGAAGCAGTTGTTAGTCTGTTTATAAAACAGTGCTAATGTTTCCTTCCACTGGTTTTAGCTGGCTTTTAGCTAGTTTTAAAGAAAACTATAATGATTAAAGTCTCTTATATAAAGCATTTTTATTTCCTGACAGGAAGGCTGAAGAAGGGACAGTTGACTAAGGTGGTTACATTATAAATTTCTTCATTAAATCTAGTTTAGAAAGTAGATGACAGGTACTACCCTATTGTATGTTTTATTTGGCTGACAATCAGTGTTAATCTGAACTACATTAAGTTATTTAGCTGAATGGCACTATTCAGATTAATCTTTCTGTTCCAGTTAGCACCCAAATATAGCTTCTTGAGCCTTAAGCCAATATGGCTTTCATTTCCTTTTGAAATGGATTCAGCAATGCAACTTTTTTTAGAGGTAGCAAACTAAATATACAAGAATCTTTGACTTTTTCTACTTTTTAGAAGCATTCATTAGAATGCTTTATACACTACTTTTTTTTAACGGTTCCATGTTTAGGGTGTTGTACTTATTATTTGTTTGCCTCCTCTATAGACAGTTTCAGCTAAATCAAAAAAGCACTGTTGTGCAGTTGTCAGCACACATCTAACTTATTTACTTCCTAAAACTGTTTATAAATTATGCATTTTTAAAATATATTTAGGCAGTTGAACTTTTCAGTTTGAAGATTTTTCCAGTTTCTGTCTCTCAAAAATTAATCAAGGCTACTATGTTAAATGTGTATTGGGAAACTGCTTGTTTTCCTTATGGATACAGACATGGTGATTATTTCTGGCATGTGAACTGCAGGTCTATGGATATGATTATGCCCATTTATAAATTATTGCGGTGTAGGTGCCTTATAGGAGTGACTTAAGTGAATGTAGAACCAGTGCTATGGCTTTCCAAGTACTACATTAAATGAACAACAGGCGGTATTTAACTAGAATTAAAAAAAAAAAAAAACAACAAACAAACCAAAACCACAAAAAAACAACAAACAAATATTTGACTAGATATTTCATTTTATTTTAACTGGAAAACCTGACATTTTAAAAAGCCACATAAGCATTTTCTTCCTACTTGGATGATCATGTGTTTTTTCAGTCTAGCTACCCCTAATTTAAGTCTATACAAGTCTGTAACTGAGCTGCCTTTGGTGCAACTAATAGAGTCTTCTTCCTTCAAATTGCAGGTCCACAGGTTGTTGGGGATCTGTTCCTTGAAGTTATTAGAGCCTTTTATTCCCACTGCAAAGATGCACTTGGTTCTGATCTCAAACTTAGCTACAATCAAAGTGGCAACACACTTGCAAGGTATAACTACAAGTTCTCAACTGTGAACTGAAACTGTATCTTTTATATTGAGATAATTGATTAAAAGCTAACCAATTTAAGAAAGGTTACGTCTTTAATAAAGTGACCTTCTGTATAGAAGACGCAATTTTCCCTTTTCTCCATACATGCTTGATTTCTTTTTGATTGTCAGAGAAGAAAATGAAGTACACTGCATATGATTGGTGTTGATTAAATCCAGTTATATTGGCCAAGAATCAGTCTGGTCAGAGAACTCTTAGCTTTTTTTGATTTTCAAATTTGAAGGCTCAATTTCTTTAATCTGGGAGAAAGATGCTCAAACTCAAGCTATTCCAGAATGACTTAGTCCTTGACTCAAAACAATCAATGTCTTTTAGCTTGTAGAGAAAGGTAGAAAAGGGTTTTTGAACTCATCAGTTAATATTGTGATGTGCATGCTTTTAGAATCTTCACTGATAGCTGTTTCTTTTTTTTCTCCTTTTTTCCTCTTTCACACAGTGCAATCAAAGAGAACAAAAATGCTTCGGAAATTGTTAAAACAGTCAATTTGTTGATCACATCCTTAAGCACGGATTTTCTTTGGGATTACATGACCAAATGTTTTGAAGATTGTTTCAGGTGTTTATATTGTTAAACAATAGTGCTCTTAACAATACTGCTTAAGAGCTATCTGTGTGAGATAATGTTTACTGAAGCATTTCAATTCGAGAAGGGACATAATACATGTTACAATCAGACAGATATGTAAGTTGCATCGTAAAATAATTCAAGAATAGGTAAACAATTAGATGGAAACTAGCAACCTGAGAACAAAAAAAATTACTTTCAAAATGACAGCTGAAGGAGGAAGGGGTTTGGGAGGGGAGGTGAAGAAATCTTCCTTGGAAGAACAAGTGTTTTTTGAAGTAAAGAACTCTATCATTTTTTCTCTTTCTAAATATAAGAGAGAAGGTTATACTTTAAGTAGTAAGATCATGTACAGAGATCCAATCTGAAAATTAGAAGCACTTTAGCATCCTGCATGCTACAGTTTAGGTGGTTTTGACAGAATGTTTTATCCTGCTGTATTAGAAGTCCCATTTTACTTGGCTTCAGAAAGCCTAGCTGTTCAGTATTTTGTGCTGGTTTTGATGAAGCTTTTTTATTGTAACAAGAATTTTGACAGGAAAAAAGCTTACAAAATAATGTTTCTCTCAATCCAGAAACAAATCCACACAGATGAGATATTCTCTTGAAAATATTAGCACTCCTCCTACAATTTCAGAACTCTGCACACTATTGGTGTTTCTTCTTGACGTGATTCCTTTGGTAAGGGAACCTGAAGTTAACTGTTTCAAAGTCTTAAGAAACTTAAAGTCAAATAATACATATTGTGATAAAAATAAAAGAAAACAAATTAACATACATGTGCATATGCACAGTATGTCCTGCAAAGTATAGTTTTATGTGCTGACTCATATATGGCTACCCATGCTATTGCCTAGCAAATTAAAAATTGTTTGCACTTTGAAATATGGTGATTCTATCAAAGGAATGAAAAAAATGTACCTTTTTCTCCTTGGGTAAATAATTGCCTGGGACTTTTTGGTCTCTTAGTAGCTGTCTGATTATCATAAGTTTTTTAGGGTATGACTCAGTGTTCATCATGTAGAATGAAGAAAGAAGGAATAGCACTGAAGCAAGTTTGTACAGCTTAACCATTTGTGAACTGACTTTATCAATCATTGAGCAGTGTTGCTAGACAGCTGAATAAAATATGATAACTATTTTTAAAAATGCTCATTTATTTTAGGAACTCTACTCTGAAGTGCAGACTCAGTATCTCCCACAGATGCTCAGTTATATGGTGCAGTCTCTCCTGGAAAATATGGAGGTATTAGGTTTACCAGAACTCACTCATGCATTAAAGACCTGTTTTAAGGTGCTTAGCAAAGTGCAAATGCCCCCTTCCTATTTGGACATTGAGACAGGAAGTGGAAATGGGGTAAGTGTTTTTCAACTCCTCATAGATGTTTAAAATTGTTAGTGACATAACTTATTTTAAAATGCTAATTCTTCTACCTTTAACCTAGATGATAACTGTAGCATAGCAAAAAAGATATTGGAAACTTATCTTTTTTGGCCCATTCCAGAGCTGCCTGATGTCTTGTTATTCTCACGGAGCATTCAGTTCTGACTTGTTTGAATTATTTGTGACAATGAGGGAGTATAATCTTGTTTGAATCTGGGGAATTCTATCTCTGGGGAAGAATGGGATCTTAATGGTTTTGAAAAGGCACTCAGGATCATGCAGTTGCTAAAGATTTGAGGTGCCAAATCAAGCCTCACTTTACAGCTGGTTAGGTCTGCAAGGCTTTCAATTAATATTTTAGTTTAATACAATGTGGTATTGTTTGTGTGCAAGAGACCATGATAGGGAATGAGGAATAGATGGCATAAAGCAGTCACACAAGCACAGCTTGACAGAGTTTTGCAGTCAAACAAATGCATGCATTTGACTAGAAATAATCCAACATAAGTAATACTATTCTAGTGGTGAACTGATTTTAAGGAAACATTTCCATATGCTAAGTACCTGTACCTATGGACCTGTTGGTATTTAATGAGTCAAGATGTGAGGATTATACAAACGTGTTGGGTTTTAAAGGCAATTGAATTGGTCTGCTTAGAAATAACTATGTCTCATGATCTTGTAAAAGTAATCTCTATCTGAAAATTGCAGATACTAGGGGGTGTTTCTGTCATTGCTGTTCCCTAGTGCCTGCCACAGTTCTACATAGTTTAAAATTATCTGCACAGTGTCACATAAACCACATTAACATTTCTGTTTTAGAGCCCAGTGAAAAAAGAAAATGTGGACATAACCTTGGAGACGAAGTCTGTGCTGCAGGAGGAGGATGAGACTCCGTTTCCTCCCCTGAAGTCAGAAGACAGTGGCATTGTTCTAAGTGCTTCCTCCCCAGAGCTCTCTCAGCACTTGGGGGTGCCAACTGTGACCCTTGAGAGAGATCATGTCTGGAAGAAAGGGGGGAGGATTCAGAAGACTTTGTATTGCATTCAAGAGCTGGTGGCCAGGTTTTCCAGTAAATACATTTTTGGGGTGCAATTTCAAGAAACAAGTAACGAAAGCATCTCAGCAATGAATCTGAGTGGAAAAGAGAAAAAAGAGAATGGCTACAGGTTACCTGAAAGTGCTAGCAAGAAAAAGAGCCCATGGGATGCAAAGCAAATCACTGTACCTCAGTTTAAACAAATGCTTTCAGATTTGTTCTCAGTTCGAGGGTCACCATTCAAGAACAAGAGCTCTAATCCTCTTCCTTCTGACCACAACTCTATTAATAAAAAGGAAAAGGAAGAAGAAGAGTGGGACTTAGAACAAGTGATGCTTGTCTTGGGACCCCTCAGAGGTGACTGCAAGGAAGCTTTCGCTGCAGCTTGTCACCTTTTGTTGGATTGCACCACATTCCCAGTCTATCTTTCAGAGGACGAGATGGAACAGTTGTATCTCTCTCTGTTTCAGGTCCCTGGTAAGAAAAGATTTCTTTACTGGGCAACATGAGCATTTGAGAATGCAGATAGCCATGTGAGCTTGGCTATTTGCAAGACCTGTGACCAGGGCTGGTAGCAATGCCTTTTGATAGGGCTCAAGGCAAGTTCTATGTGAATTAAAGACTTACATCAACATGTGTTTTGTGTCTTGCAGCTGAGGGACAATTTTTACCACACTTGTCAAATTCACATTCTTTTCAAAGCTTTCATTATAGAACTTGTAGCTGAGGGGATGAAAAGACCTTCTGACCTGTAGGGCCTTGTGGCATGGTTCAGGATTTTCAGGAAATCTGTCCCCCTGTCATCCATGTGTACATCCCCCCCATCGTCCCACCCACCCCCCAAAAAAAGGATGTGTTAGAGGAAGATGGGTATAGGTGGAAAACTGGAGCTCTAAACCATAACAGATACAAAACCAGCTATTTCTGTAACCCTCAGAATTCAAAGCAGTCCAATGTAAGCTAACATACAATAATAATCTTGTGTAATTGGAGGGCCTCTTTGTTCTGGGAATTCAAGTTCATTAGCTTTAGCAGTTATTGGCCTGAAGGCTAATTGGCAAGATAGGTTTGTAGTGAATGGAGAGGTGGGAAACGGGAAAATTGGGTTCTTTTCCTCAGTTCAGTACCAATTTCTGCTGTCTTCCTTAGCAAAGTGATGATATGCCCATCATCTACACAGGTGAGCTGTCTGCTAGACATGGACACTTCTGCATATTTGCAGAACCTTCCATGTGGTCAGCAATGTAGCTGAACTTAGAAGGCTTGCGTTTATAATTGTGTTTCTTTGGAATATCATCCTAGGATTATAGAAGTTTATTTTCAAAATTCTTTTAAACTGCACACCCTGGAGAATACAGGAGGGTTTAAAGCCAAAAGGAGAACCTCTGTTAGTGAAGGTCTGGGTTGCATGTGATGCAGAAGCTGTCTGATGTGGAGAAGGAAAAGTCATTTTGTTGTGGTAGTAAAGCAGTTAAAACATTTGGTTTTGAAGCCAGAGGTGTGAACTCATACTTCAAACTTGACTTGATTTCAGTCACAAACTGATTCCAGTCAAGCCTTAACAAAACTTTATCTGATTATTCAGTCAAGAGAGGCAAAAATGGCTTGACTTGATGTTAGCCATATCAGTTCCTTGTCTGCTTCATGGTTTCTGAAATGATATGCCTCAGTGCTACCCAAAAGAGCATACTTGGATCAGCAGACCTCTGTTGTTGTTTTTGATAATGACAGCTGGAAAACAGCAGCTGTGAAAACTAGTTATGAGTAAACATAAACTGAAAAGCAGGAATCCACTAGTTACTGGGTTACTGAGGTCCTGCAAGAGCTTTCTGCTGGGAGAAACAGGGAAAAGAATGTAACTTGCTTTGAAGCAACTTCCTTCTGAAGTAAGGGACTTGATGATAGCATGACAGTTGGATTTGGGTGGTCATTTTTGTCTCTTTGTCCCGTGAGCTTGATTGAAGAATTCTTGAAAATATGGCTATAACCTTGGGATTATTCCAAAACTTTTTTCTCCTTTATCTTCTGAGGAGGTTGTGATGCCAGCTTCCCTCTGTGGCTGAAGTCCTTAATGACAATATGCTGTTGTGTGAATGACTGCTATGTTCAGAATGTGTCCATCTTCACGCTGCTGGAGGTGATCAACCATTCCCAGTCACTGGCGCTTGTGATAGAAGACAGAATGAAGCGGTACAAAGTATCTGGCCACAACCCCTTCTTTGGAAAGCTACAGATGGTTACCCTGCCTCCCATTGCTCCTGGAGTTCTAAAGATCATCTCAGAGAAAACAGATTTCTACCAGGTGTCAATTTCCATTTTCTTTTTTACTGCCTAACCTACACTGAACCTCTAAGGATGGGGTGGAAAAGCAAATGGTATTTGAAGGGATGTTTCGGGGCAGCATGTTTGTGTTACAATGACAGGTTGCTGTTTCTTGCTTCCATAAGCATTTGAAAGCAATCACATTCTTCTTTGTGTGCTTCCCAACAGGATGTTCAAAAGTGGCAGATTATTTTCAAATTGCTAGTTGGTTTTGTGCCCAAATTCTTGGGTAGGTATAGTTGATTTCTGACATGAAGGGTTTGGTTTCATTAGTTTGAAAGCTACACTTACAGAGAACTTTGATACCACTCTAACTTTTCAGATAAGAGAAAATGTTAGTGGGTGAATAATAATGAAAACACTTCATCCTCCTTGTTTTGAGTATATTTCAAAGGTGCTTTCCTTCTCCTGACCATTTATTGATATCAGTGTTGATATGAGGGTTGGTTACAAGATCTTTTTCTTGATTACTGTGTTTCCAGTTGCTGTGCCTGACACATGTAAAATCTGTTAAATTCTGACCCAGAAAATAAAAGCAGAAATGCCTTTCTTAACTTCTGGTACACGTATATTTCAATTATGTGTCCTACTAGGGTAGGAAAGTTGCATTCCTTTAGGTCTGAGTGTATGACCTGAATTCTTGCTCTTTGCTAAACTAAGACGATTTGGAAATCCATTTTGGTAATAGAAGGCATTTATGCAATGGAAAGCTTTTAAGTCAGGGAAGAAATGGCACTACATCATCATCATTATTATTATTAATGTTATTTGCTATTTTTCCCTAGAGAGTAGCCTGTGTGCTCTGGAATCAGCTGAACAAAGAGACACGGGAACATCATATTGCCTGTGTGGAACTGTTCTACAGACTGCACTGCTTGGCACCATCAGCAAATATCTGTGAAGACATTATCTGCCATGCACTTTTGGATCGTGATAAAGTAAGTTCTGTATTCAGTGAAGCCCCTTCATCACTGTAGAGTTGTTCCAGTGCTTTCCAGACTGCCTTCAGTTCCCTTCCACCCCACATCTTCACTCCCACGGTCCCTCTGGCTTCCAAGAGTCTGACAGACTCTGTCTGTGCCTTTACAATTACCTGGGATTTATTCATCATGGGACTACAGCTAAACTTAGTCCCTGGATACAAGGTCTGTCAGTCAATGCTGGAGCTTTTCTAGTTTTAGCCCAAATCATGTAGTATCTAAAAACTTCTTGTCAGTATTTCCAAACTGACCCAGCTCCACCAATAACTCTAAAATCATTTTACTTTGTGTTGAATTTTTAAACCTCAGATTCCAACAAGAACTTTATTACCTTGTAGGTGTATGTCAACATAACATTGACCCTGTGTCCACCTTAGTATTTAGATCTCATAATAAGTAAGCTGTATTTGAGCCACTTATTGCCTAGTTTAATGACAGAACAGTTCTTTAATAACTTTAAGTATATTTGTTAGAAGTGCCTTGCACAATAAAACTTATAACAGCCACCTTCAGTCTTCGGTACTGTTTTCATATCTTTGCTCCTGCAATTTTGAAACTTAGAAGTTTGGAAATCTTTTAAAAGCTTTCAAACAAAATTACCCAATAATAAACACTACCTAATATACCAATGTATTCCTGTTCATTATCCAACTTGTAAACCTCCATAATACCAAACCAAGACCAAAATATTTATACACAAGAGCCCTGAAATACATGTTTGGTGTCTTGGCACATATTTTTTTGCTCCTACAAACACTGTGGCTGTTTTGGTTGTGCATGCATGGATACATGGCATTTTGGTTTAGTCAGTTATAAAATAGAAAAATGCTCTTAAACTACCTGAGAAGGATTAGCAGTCATTTACACAATAATTGTCGTTCTGCTAGAGATTTAAAAATCACTAAAACTTTACTTGAAGACAAATGTTGCAAAAAATATGTGTCTGTTTTGTTTCCTTGCAAAGGGGACAAGGCTGGAAGCGCTGTTCAGATTCTCTGTCATGTGGCATCTGACCAGAGAGATCCAAGGCAGCAGAGTGACTTCTCACAATCGGTCCTTTGATAGGTATTTTCCGTTTCCACTGGCTTAGACTTGCATTTATATATTTAACTATACCATGCTTTGTTCTGTTCTTTTTTCTGAAGTGGGAAAAAGTTCTCTGTAGAGAGAACAAAAAAATGAGCAAAAGGAAGATCTTAATCTTTCTTGCACTGTTAACTTTGCAAAGCACTCAGTGTGCATGGTGCACTTCCTTTGTGAAAGAAGTTTCTGTAAAAATAGAAAGAGCTTCCCAAAGAAAATAGAATCAGCTACTTGTGCAAAAACAAATTTTCCTATTAAGAGATCATAACCTTTGTATAAAATGAGACAAAAGCATTAAGAGTCTTTCTAAATAAAGATGTGAAAGAACTTTAAAATATGCTTCTCTTCTAGAGTGTGAGTATATGTATGGCCTTGCTTCTACAAATGCATGTGTACTTGACCTCAACTCAGGAAAATGTGCATGATCAAGCTATTGTTAACAGACATGAGCAATTGGCTGGTGCTTACTTAAACACTCACCGTGTCTGGTGCCACCCTGCCACTATTTGTTGTTTGCATTAACTTTTTTAGGGATTTCAATTGTACTTTATTTTGATTTCTCCACTCAGGTCTCTGTTTGTGGTACTGGACAGTCTCAATTGTTCAGATGGTGCAATTGGTGCTGCAGCACAGGGCTGGCTGATCCGTGCTCTTTCACTTAATGATGTTGCACGGATTCTTGAACCAGTCTTGCTGCTGTTGCTTCATCCAAAGACACAGCGCACGTCCATCCACTACATCAAACAGAAAAATTCAGCAGGTAAAACTGTTCTTGGACTGAAACTGTAAGTGCTAACAGCATTGCATACTCCTGAACACCTACCGAAGTTTGTCTCTGAAGTGCAATGGTATCCTATTACCCTAAGTTGTCTTGTATCACTTCCATAGATTCCTCCTCATTCAGGTACCTCTAGTGATGCCTAAAACAGAGTTCAGGAGTAAGTCATGCTAGTTGAAGGCTTAATGATAATTTCTATTACAGTGGCTGCACCTACATTGTTAGTTTGGATTGCTCCCTGCTTTGCTCTGGGATCTTGTCCCACTCTTCTCATTGCCATTCCCAGATGATCCACACCGCATGTGTGTTCACTGTTCACAGGATCCCTTCTCGAGCAAAACTAGGTCTGCAACCAAATGAAATCCAGGAGCAGTTTGGTGATGATGTCAGTCCAGGAACTGTTCAAGTAGGCAGGATGGACAGGCAAATCTCACACTCTCCACCCAGTCTTGCCCCAGCACACCATGCACCCTCGTACTAGGCTTCTTTATTCAGAATATTTTTTTGTTAATGATTCCTTCAGCATCATCTTAAAATAATCAGACAGATTGTGAGGAACATCTTACTGTTTAGGCTGCACCATACTAAAAAATCCCTAATTCTGCTAACTTCTAAAAATTAAAATGTGTTTTTCCAAAAAAGATCCGTCTTGATTCAAGAGAAGGGCCGAGCCCTTGTGGCATACATCTTGAGGTATCCCAGAGCTAGGATGTAGAAGCAAAGAGAGATGTTTGGAATTGAAGATGACCTCCAGCCACCCAAATTTAGGAATGTGGTGGAGTGTCTTTACCTTGACAGGCTAAATTTGACAGCTGCAAGATGTCCATTTTAAGACCTGTAATGAGAACCATTGTGAACCACATGTGATCTGTGAGTCAAATGTGGAACAGACAAGTGTGACAGAGACTTGTGGGGAGCAGCTGAGGAAGACTGAGACAGGCATGGAGCCAGGGTTCGCTCCAAGTGTGGAGTCCTGCGAAGACTGGCTGGCAGTCTGTTCAGGTTTGGGGTTGCTGGGAGTGGTATGGCTATGAGGCACTCTGTACCATTTGGCCCAAGTAGCCAAGGTTGTTTCCTGGAGCAGAGCAGGAAGATGGTGGTGAAGTGTCTGGTAGTTTTGTTTAAGAAACTTCCGTGTCACCTGTCTGTCTCATTACTGTTAACCTAGCTGTAGGCTTGCATAATTGTTTTTTTGTCTTGATTGGCAAATAGTTAGATGGCAGACATTTATAGCATCCAAAGGGACCTGTTTATTAGATGCTATACAAACACAGATCTAATCTGTTCCTTCCTTGTTCCACAGCATGTGATCAAATAAAATATTAGCTCTTAAAAAAAAAAAATCCTCTGTTGCTATCCTTCTCATTTCCCTCCTGATCTCAACAAACATTTTATGCTCAGGAAGCATTAAAAAAAAAAAGTCACATCCAGGGAGTTACAGCGTAAGAGAAACAGCATGTGCTTTATGTTTTGATCCTATTCTCTTGTGCTTCCAGTAGGTTAGGACTGCTCTACCACTTTGAAAAAAAGATAAAATTCTTGCCTTAGCCCAGGGGGTTTTAGCTCCACTTTTTACAGTTAATAGTAGACTAGAGCAGAATAACTTTTTAACCTTTTTTTTCTTACAATGTTTTATTCAGTATAAAGGATGTTGTGTGAAATAGATGTTTGTAAGCTCTTTTTAATTATTTTTTTTTTCAGAAGATATACATGATTGGCTTTGCAAGAAAAAGACCTCTTTGAAAGAGTCTGGCATCTCTGAGAGCAATTCTGAGGAAAACCTTCCATTGAGCCAGTTTACTACTGTGGATAGAGAAGCAATTTGGGCAGAAGTCGAAAAAGATCCAGAGAAGTCAGAGTTAAAAACAGAACAGTCTGAAAATGATGACTCTTATAATCCAGTAACATCACATGAAGCAGATGGTGACCAAGATAATAGTGAGCACACAGAATCAGCAGACACCAGCACAGGCCATGACAGTGAAAATACATCCTCTTTTTCTCCTTCTTTAGAGCTGCAAGAACTGAGCAATGAGGACAATGACAGTGCTGCAACTGATGGCAAAGAAACCACAAACCATGTGAGTTGTCTCAATGCGTTCCTTCCTGAAAGCTCCAAATCCAGTGTAGCACTCAACCTTGTGCGTGCTGATTCTGAGAGGACTCAAGCATCAGAGTCTCTGTCAAGTGATGAAGAGGTGGACTTGGAGCTCCAGGAAATTACCCATTCTAGGTTGCTCAAGCAGCAGAAGGAAAAACAAGAGATGATTGAGTCTCTGTTCAAACACATGCTGCTATATTTGCAGCCTTATGATTCTAAGAGGGTATTGTATGCTTTTTCTGTTCTGGAGGCAGTGCTTAAAACAAACCCTAAAGAATTTATTGAAGCTGTAGCTAGTACCAGCATGGATACCAGCTCCACAGCACATTTGAATCTCATTTACAATCTCTTAGCTCGCCATCAAGAAGCTCTTGTAGGGCAGAGTTTTTATGGCAAGCTTCAGACACAGTCCCCAACCATGTGTCCCCATTCTCTTCTAATAGAATTGCTCACTTACCTCTGTCTCAGTTTTCTGCGTTCATATTATCCATGCTACTTGAAGGTCACACACAGAGATGTGCTTGGCAACAGAGACGTTCAGGTAAAAAGTGTGGAAGTCCTGATTAGAATGATGACCCAGCTAGCTACCATGGCAAAGGCAGCAGAGAATAAGAACATAGAGTTCATACGCAATTTGCTAGGACGATGCAAAATTCAGGAGTTTGTTCTTCTTTCTTTGTCTGCATCTATGTATACAAGTCAGAAACGGTATGAACTGCTTATGGGAGATGGAGTTAATAATGTTCCTGAAGAAGAGCTCTTTGAAGAAAGCCTAATCAATTTTGGGCATGATCAAATATGGAGTGAACACCCACTCCAGATTGAGTTGCTGAAGCTCTTGCAGGTATTGATTGTCTTGGAGCACCATCTTGGACAGACTCATGAGGAGCAGGAGAATCAGCCAGACCTCTCTAAGGAATGGCAGCAGGCTCTTAATTTCCAGCAGGCTATTGGTGCAATGCAATATGTCTATCCACACCCAATAACTTCACAGGGATTATTCGTCTCTGCTGTGGTTAGAGGTCTGCAACCAGAGTATGGCTATGGGATGCATCCCACTTGGGTAGGCTTAGTCACATGTTCCCTGCCCTATTTTGGGAAGTCTTTAGGCTGGACTGTGGCACCGTTTGTTGTACAGATATGTAAAAACCTTGATGAGCTTGTCAAGCAGTATGAAAATGAAGCTGTGAAGACACCTGCAAAAACATATGCAAGGTAAGAAGTCTGCAAGGTGGGATTTGTTATGCTGAAACTTTTTAAAGTTCCTCTTAGAGTGTAGTGCATAGTGATTTACTGTTTTAGCACTCTGGCTCCCAGAGTCTGATCCTCAAACCTTGCTGCACATGCAGGCATCTGTCCCTTGAGCCCAGGTGCGGTGGAGGCAGTATTGTTGCAGCAGGGCTCACTGCGGTTGCAAGAATGACCAGCAGCTGTGATACTTCCTGTTCCCCTCTGCCTGCCATCCAAGTAAAATGAAGTTCCCAGTTTTGAAAAAAATGAGGATTTTGGAGGACTAATTGGGGAGAGAGACCCTGGAGAAGAAAAATACAGTGATACTGTTCAGAACAGGCAGTAAGTGAAAGGACTGGTGGGGAATAATACTCTAAAAGATCTAGACAAGGAAACAGGGTTGTCCAAGCGTAGTCTGAATTCTTTGATTTGATATTCCTGTCTGGTTGTTCCAGTATTCTTTTAGCCACTGAATAGAAACAGATTTCTACTGGAATTTTTAATTACGGAAATACTACTTGGCCCGTTAACCATTTTTTCTTTTTTTTTTCTTCCTCCAAAGCTTAACTTCTAAAAGAGAAAATGTTACACCTGATTACCCACTAACCCTTTTGGAAGGTCTGACAACCATTGGTCACTACTGCCTTCTGGATCACCCCAACCAAACCAGAAAGGTAAGTGCTTCATGCTTACCACTCACTTGACACCTCAGCACCAGCATGCATCCATTTTTCATTCAGAGGTGACTATAAGTAGTGAAGTGGTGCTTGTACGAGAAGATAACCTTAGAGAAACCTCAGAGCATACCAGAAGAAGTGAACTAACTAAAAGTGTAAATGGAGGGAGACTGAACTTAATTTCTCTATTTGAAGACAGGAAAGTTAATTTCAAGCAATGTTCATGATGATCTTGGCTATGCAAATATTAGTCCTGTGTAGCATGTCTACAGTTGTTCTGTCAATAACAAAGTTTTCTATTTTCTTTTGCACTGATAACTTGCTAATGTGCTCTCTACAATTTTTATTCCTATAACATTTATCAGAAGAGGATATTATCCTAACAGTTTCCTAGACAAATCAATTCTCTCTGTGCCACAATAGTAAACACCAAATTCAGTAGACTCTCATAGCAGCATTATATTTCAGAAATAGAATGGTTGAATTATTTTTAAAGTTTTCATTACACAAGTTTACTATAATTCTCCTAATTATTGTATAAGAGCAGTCACTCTGTGTTGCAAAATACAGTGTATTTTAATATTCATATTTTTTGGTTTTCTAGTCATCTTTAGCTGAACCTGCAAACCTGAGAAATGCTAGGAATGCCATTTTGGAAGAATTGCCTCGCATTATTAATACCATGTCCCTTCTTTGGAGCATTATAAAGAGGGAAGACTCTCAAAAAAGACCAACAGACTTTTTTGGAACAACTAAAGGCTCTTCTTCAGTCTACTTTAAAGCAACCAAAGTAGGAGTTCTTTTAAACTGCTGTGTATCTCCTCATCCTTATCATCCCCTCTCAGCAGTATTTCACATAGAGTTCATAGGAATAGTTTTCCATTCCCAGAATTATATTGGGCCACACAGAATTTAAGAACTCTCATGAGCTACAGACTTGCACAGTACCTACCCACAAAAGTAGATTTTTTCCTGTTCTTTTGCCCACCTTCACCCTTACCTGATCTATTTCATGTTTTGCTTTTTCTGTGAGCTTCTGTTAATAGCTGCTGTAGAGCCAGCTGCCTCTGAATTGTCTGCACCTTCCACAGGCAGTAGAACATTGTACCTGAAGAAATAAATATACTAGACTTTTCCCTTTTTCTGTGGATACTGGTAAATCATAGTAGTGAAAAATATCTGTAGGAGCAGAGAGAATATAACACAAGAAGTTATTTTTTTCTAATTTGCAATCTGTTTTCCAACAAATGTGCCTTCCATCTGTAAGAAGGATACACTAACTCATAAATAAATTATCAAAACTAATCTGACAGCCAAGTATATAGAGAGATTATTTTGTTGCTGTGTATTTTCTGAACATCTTGGGAAAAGGAAGAATGGTTTACAGACTATGGAAGGCAAAGGCTATCTCAAAGTTTAGCATTGACGGTTAACTTTTCTCCCCTCTGTAGACATTAAGAACTAAAATACTGGACTTCATGAATCCATTGACAGCACAACTTGGAATCCAGTTGATGGCAGCAATTGCAGCAGTATGGAATAGCAAGAAACCTCATAGGAATCAAAGTAAAATCAAGGTGAAACTAAATAAAGGCACCCTTAGTTTTCCAGTGTAAAGGCAATTACATGTGTATGATCAGTCCTAAACTCTGGGCTTGTTTATAGATTCTTTGGGTTTTTTTACATATGGCAATGTCAAGTCACTGAAAAATCTGAAATGCTTATTTATATGTAATTCCACAAAGCATCAGGACTACAATTAAACCTAATTAAGTCATCAAATAAAAAGGGCAGTTTAAGACTTATAGTAATAGCCATTTTTTATTCAATACTGGATTGTAATCTTAGGATTGCAACTTGCCAATTATATTTTTAAAAACTTGGATCAGCTCCATTTCCAGAGAAAGGTTATTGTCTGGAACAAAGCATCTATTCTCAGTAGAACACCTCTTTCTTTTCTTCTTTTATTTAAGCATGATGAAGCTGATTTCATGAAGGTGTTGGGAGAAGATCTGTGTATGGCAAATTGTTGCATGTTTGATTTAACTTGTCTACTTGATGTTTTGTATAAATATAGATACTTGAATAATCACACAAAAAAGCTGTTTTTTCAACTTCATGTTTTGCCTGGTACAGTGATCTGAGGGGCATGTCTTTTGTTTTGGTTTGGTTTTTCAGATTCTTCCAGTGGCTAGTGCATCCCAGCTTATTCTTGTGGATTTAATATGTGCACTTAACACATTGAAAATTGACACTATATTACACCTAGTCAAAGAGGTAGTCAAGAAACCATCACAAATCAAGGGCGAAGAGGTAACCATGAAGATAATTCAATTTTCTTAATATATTATATTCAGGATCTATTCCAATGTGTTTTCTAAATATTGTTAGAAGGAAAGTTTGGAGGGTTTTTTAAAGAGTGTGATTCTCTTTTGCTCCTGAATAAGTTATGTTTTTAGAATGTGGGTTTCTGTGTTTTGAGCCATCAACGTAAGTAGGTTCTTCAGAATATTTTGCTAGAGAAGTTGCTGGTAATGAAAAGGTGTGAGGTCCTCCACTACCAAAGATGCTGACAATTTTTGTAAAGCTGCTGCAGATATACAACACAGTGATGTATTTTTCTCTCTCCCTTTACCTGATCAGTTAGAAATACTTCACATTGAGTCTACTATCTTCCAACTGGCTTTCAAGGAAACCAGTTTTGCTACCGTGCACGCCATTGTAGGAGCTCCTACAGCTCTGAATAAACTGTAGTAGATATTCCAAAGTAATGTGCCTGCTTCTGAATGAAAGTCCTCTACTAGAACTCATACTGCTGTATAGATAGTTTTATCATAGTTGGTCACCTGTTGAGTACAGGAGTACCTATTGGCTTCTAAGAAGGGTGTGCTAACCATTGAACGCAAGTGTTCAACAGCTTGGACCTTCTTTTTTTTCTGATGGCAGATAATGTGTGTTTTGCTTTTATTTTTCAGAAATCTTCTCTTGTAGATATTCCAGTGCTGCAGTTCAGTTATGCTTTCATTCAAAGGTAATTCAGTCATTATAAAAAAGAATTTTCTGTTTGACTCTAGTTAAGATAACAGCCAGCATTACTATTTCTGCTTTACTTTTATCTTCATGTCACAATGTCACAGAACACCTTTATGTAGGAAATGGTTGTTGCCACTTCATTGTTAAGTAACAGAAAGACACAAAATAACTGGGCTATGACATTATGTTCCATTGATCTGTTGATAATGCCAGTCTGAAAGCCTTATTTTATACTAACAGAGCAACATACTTCAGACATCTCATGAGCAAGATACTTCATAATTTCTTATGATCTTTCTTTGTATCAGTTCTGTGCTGCAGATGAATGGATAGAAAACTTTTAAATTAACAAAACTGCTATGGCTGCAGTCTGTGCTGGACAGGTAGTGGTCAGGCAGCTGATTGGAAATATTCCTTTGATCAAAACTCTTCTTCACATACTTGGCTTTTCTCATATGGAAGCCTTATATGAGACTGTACAATATACTGTATATGATAAGCTATGGAGATAAAGTAAGCTGGCATACAGTGGAGTGGTTAACTAAACTATTCCTTTACAACCCCTTAAGACCCAGCACTCTTACAGTGCTGGCTGGCATGCTGCATGTGCTGCTGGCATTTACTGCTGTATGAACATTCCTTGTGCTGCCGGATATTTATACCATGTTGTTGGATCAGTTAGGACGGGGCAGGTTCTAAAGAACTGATCTTGATGGAAGCTTTTAGGCCACTAAGTTACCCACATATGGGTTTTTTTGTTTTTTTCCTTAACTCTAACTTCAGACTTGGGTGCGGTTTGGGTTTTTTTTTTTTTTGGCAGACTGCCTGTCTCAGCCTTGCAGGAGAACTTCCAGTCCTTATTAGGACTTCTCAAAGAGTCTGTGCAGTTGAACTTGGCTCCTCCTGGACACTTTCTCCTTCTCAGGTACTGCATAAGAAAGAAAGAAAGAGGTTTATAGTCATTGAGTAGACCTGTCCAATTACTAACTTGGAGTGAATTCATTTTTCCACAGTACTCTGAATGACTTTGTGACTAGGACACCTACTATAGAAAACAAAAAAGACCAAAAAGACTTGCAGGTACAGTGTATACATGTATTCCTTTTAGTTCATAAATATGGCACTGTACATTTAAGTAAAAGTGGAGATGGCCTGATCTGTACTTTGTATCTGAATTTACATGTGCTTTTAGAATGTATAAATGTGCATCCACGCTGGTAAATATGGGAGACTCAGATATGAGAGACATGATGCACAGAATGTCTCTAACAAACTTTTGTCAAAAATGCATGAAATCACAGTGGTAACTATGGCTTTTTCAAAGCTGTTTTCCTTGGGTAATTTTATGATTTTTCTCAGAATTTAAATCATAACACAAGTGTGATGTCATGAGTTCATATCATATGTGTAAGTATTGAAATCTCAAAGCTATCTAGGAAAATTAGTAGGTTAATTACCCTTGAAGCTTATAGCTGCATTTGGCAATGTAAATTACTGTCAGCTCACCTTTTAGGTAAAGAAGGAGTGGCGTAGAGCAGGACTCTTCCTATGCCTAAGCACTACCCACATGGGTGGTTTTGGCTCTGAGCCAATGTAATTGCTACCTATGAGGTGAGACAGTGTTATGGTTACTTTAGTGTGCCAACAGAGAAATTAAATTTCCACTTCTGCTTCAGAGACTGGCCAGCAAAATTATAATATTAATTAAAAGACAGTTTTGCCATCTTATCATCTTACCGCCTCTTCACAAGTAACTTCTGCTTTGCTTTGGATACTTGAGGTTTGGTTTCCTTAGGGTGACTGGCTGATCATGTCTTTGACAGATGACAGCTAATGTGTGGCAGGACTGATGCCCAGTTGATACTGTGTTAGCGGTAAGGGCTTACATGGGAAATCATGACTAAAACCTCCATGATAAGCTAATTTAAAGTTTTTCCTTCTCATTCTCTTGTCTGTTCTTATTTGAAGTGAGCAGTAGTTGGTTATCTTGAGAGCACAGATAGTTAAATCAGAGAAGTATTTATGTTTCTAAGAGATAGAAGTGCCTACTTGTGATCCTCCTGACATGTTCCATATAAAAAGGACTTCACTGTATTGACCGAGTGATGATAGCTTTCAAGTGACACCACATTGTCTTTTTATGTTATAGGAGGTGACTCAAAAAATCTTGGAGGCTGTAGGGACTATTGCAGGTTCTTCTCTGGAACAGACTAGCTGGCTGAGCCGGAACTTAGAAGTGAAAGCTCAGCCTCAGATTTTACCAGATGACTTCAGCATTGAAGATGTGAATGGTAATGTGGTTTTGTCTGACTTTCCACCACTTTTTTTCTTCTGCTTAAGTCAGTGAAGATTACAAGGTGTTTGGTAGTGTGTGGTTTGCATAAGAAGGGAGTAATACAGACAAAAAGTAAAACCAAAAGTATGCATTATCCTTCAGTGTCAATCTAAGCAGGTTGTGTATAATACAGAGGAAAACATATTGCAGGTGCATGCAATACATGTGACAGAACAGCATGGGGCATGAGTTATATCATTGTGGTAACATGCCCAGAAGCATTTCACTGTAATACCAATATGCAAATAACAGTTCTGTTTGGAAAGAAAAGTATCAAACAGCAAAATTTAAACATATCTTGTCTGAAAGGAAAACTAAATGATTTTGCCTCTTTTAGATACCTCAGTGGCACCATCTTCAATGGTTTCTGCCTCTGCTCCTTCAATATACAGTGTCCAAGCTCTTTCTCTCCTTGCAGAAGTAAGTAGGAACAGTTTTGTAGTTGCTGCTTTCATCAGTGGGGTGGTATTTGTTGGTATTATTGAGCAGAGTAATACATAGGCTTGCCTGGTAGATTAAATGGGAGCTTATATCTTTATTGTGACATCCCATATGCACACACATTCTAGCCAGAGGTATGGCATGCTTTCCCTTTTTGTCAGAAATAGCAACTGAAGGTTTAAAGAGACATTCTTTTCATTTTTAAGGTTCTTGCTTCTCTTTTGGACATGGTTTACCGGAGCGACGAGAAGGAGAAAGCTGTGCCATTGATTTCACGTTTGCTTTATTATGTGTTTCCTTATCTACGCAATCACAGGTGACTTCTCTCTCTGCACATGTGCTTTTTCTTACATCTGATTTTTTTGACCACACTGTAAGACTTTTTTTTCTTCTTCTTCTCAGGAGTGCTTAATAGCCATGGGGAATTGTAAGAGTTGGACACCTGAGATATAAAATCTCACATAAATAATTTTCTAATTTAGTTGCTAACTGTATAGGACAGAGAAGCATGTTCTCCCCTTCCTGTACCATATAGTTGATCTTTTGCCTTAGGAAAAAAAGTCTCATTTTATTCTCATTAACAAGTGAAAATTTTCTCAAGGAAGGCCAACTTCCTTTACAAACCTTAGCCCTGTAAAGCTCCTGTGCTCAGACGCTGCTGTCTTGAATCATACAACAGAAGAGCTTCTCTCTCCACTCACTGTGGAAGACCTAAGGAGTGAGGCACAGTTAGTTAAAATAAAGCTCTGGGAATATGTTTCACCACTCTCTTCCTGCTGTTCACACACACAGGCCTCCCAACTGGAAGAGCACAGGTAATGAGCATAACTAATTGATATTTAGGCCGGTAGGATTTTGTAACAATTATTTCACCGAATTGCTAGCTGAAGAGTCGCTGAGCCTGTCAGCTGTTCTAAATTCTCTGTGCCTTAGTTTTCTGGTGAACTTACAGCTTGAATGATGAGCCGTTCTCCGTAGTAGGGTAATACAAAACTTCCCTTTTGGGAGGATTATCTTACATATTCAATAAGTTTATGCTAATAATACTAAATCCCTTCTTGTCGTAGACATCTAAGAGTAGTCTGTCAACCCTGCCATACCACATGTTTGCAGCATTAGAGACATTGCCATGTTCTGCATTAAATTGTGGTTTTGTGCTTTTAGAGTGTTTTTCCTGAGCATTCTTTTTCCTGCAATAGATGATCAGAATTCAGGATAATACTTGGTGACTATGTTAACATTAGCAATTTGATTAGAGCAGTAGTGTAGTTTTGAAGTGAATCTCTTGATTTGTCTCCATTTATTAAAAGCTGGTTCGGTACGCCAGGTGGTTTTAGTGCATGAACTAAATTCCTTTTGGAGGAAGCTAATAGAAGCTCCTATACAAAAGTGACCCATCAAGGCTCGCTAATTCCTGACTGCACTGCTGTGAGGAGATCTTGCTCATACATACCAGACGTGCCAGCAGAAGCCTATCAGACTTGGGACATCCTAAAGCTGTTCTTGTGAGCCAAGTTATCCTGCCCTACTGCTTCTGTCTACTGCGGGCTCTTAGCTGTTCACTGCAACTGATACCAGTCTTTCTGCTGCTTCTTCCTTACCCTTCTGGGTTTCTTCTGACACATCATCCCTTGCTACTTTAACTGCCCTGTTGCCTTTCTCCACTGCTGAATGCTATTGCTTTTACTGTCCTTTACTGTCATTGCTTTTCAATTTCTGCCAATTCTGCCAACCTTTTCTGCCTGTTGGGGAAGAAGGGTGACAAGGAAACAGTGCCACTGCTGAGTCTTTTCTGTGACGTGACCAAAAGTTTGTTGGTAGTCTGGACGAAGACCAGAACAGCAATCGGAGATAAGGAACCTCTCAGTAGACATGTATCCATTGCAGAAAGCTGGAAGAAATCTTTAAGTACCTGCTCACCACCAAGCCTGCAGTCCATTTCAACTCAAGTCTGAGGATCACCATGCAGTAGTATGTAGAGGGGTGCATACTGTCCCTGAACCCTACAGGACAATCTGGACAGGGGCACATCCATGGACCGTTTTCATCCACAAACTCCTTTCCACACCACAGCTGGCTTCAGGAGAGCTGTTGGTTAAAACCCAGGTATGTGTACAGATGTTCATTTTAATGGTGACTTTGTGAGTGAATTAATTAATGCTTTCATTTTTGGTGGAAATTAAGGTATTTTGTTCAGAGCAGTAGCATAGCTCTATGGATCATTGCTTTGACCACAAAGGTTGCTTTGTCTTTAGAAGAAGTTGCCCTGGGACCATGAGATGTGATACAAATCTTGCATGTATCAGTCACCTGTGTCAGAAACCATGGGTTCTGCCCATGGGCCTGCCTCGGGCCAGGCCAGGGGTCAGCTGTGTGCACAGCAACTGGGGATAATGCAGCCCCCTCCAGGCTTCTGCGATAAGAGCATGCTGCCAGGGTCTTATCCCCACCAGGCAGGGCAGGCTGATGGTCTGGTGTTGGCAGCGTTTATTCAGAGCATAAAGCAGTCTCTTAACTGAGGATCCATGGAGTTTTGTGGTGACACTCAATTTGCCTTGCATACAAATAAGCCAGAAATATCACTGTCTGTCCCACTGTTGCCCAGGCACTGGCAGTGGGCATCAATAATGCAGTCTCACCTGCGAGGCTTTGACTCCACAGGACACAAAGTGTGGTACTGTGCCCTTGTCCCTGGTTGTGGCAGACAGCCTCCTGTAGGCACTCAGCTGAGGCCGTGCATCTCCTATGGTTTTAGGAGTAAAAGGGACACTGTCACATCTGCTGACATGTCATTGCCGCTCACAGAGCTCTGAATCCCTGGCATGTCCTAACCTTATCCAGCAAACTTCTGTGTTGGGGCATTCTGAGTATTGACTGCAGGTGGAGGGACAGCCCACACTGTTGCGTGTGTCTCCTCAAGCACACAGCCCTAGGTTATTCCTTGGTCTGGGCAGGCAGGAGCATGGCATGGAGCACATTGAGAACACACACTGACAGGAGGTCCTCTCTGTGCTCAAAAGCTTTAACCTTGGCTCCTTGAAGAAAACCAGAAGCTAGGAGGAGAAAGGCCACAGGCAAGAAACTATCGTGTATCCTAAAAGGCACTGATGGGTTTGTTGTTCTCTCCTCCACAGAGTCCTGCGAGGAGGAAGTTGCAGCAGATGTCACTCCACCTTGTTCCCATGCTGCTGTGGGCAGGAGGCAGTATGCACCCCACGGGGCTACCTTTTAGCACCCAGAGACCAAGAGAGCACTTCAGAGAGAGGAACATGATGAAGGCTGTAGTGGAAAGGCATCTGCAGGATGCTGAGCATGACTGACATGGCTCACATGATACCCAACTGGCAAAAGCCTGGGAGCAGGAGGCTCTGAAGAGATGGGAGAAGGACAGCCCCAGCAGGAGGACCACTGAACTATCTTCCCTGGTGGTGGTGGTTACTGGGCACTTGCTGGGAGAAGCAGCTCTGCCTGCTGCATGGCTGATGGCTGGGTGGACAGCAGAGCCCCCATTTTCCATGTGTGCAAGTCAGGTTGGGTGAGATCTAGTAAGAGGCATGGAGACTATAAAGCCCTTTCCTGCCCTCTCCTTTCCCACCAGCATTGTGCTAGTTTGGCCTTGTGGGCCAAATTCTGTTAATTATGTGTCTTTATGGACCCTGTTGGCCCACATGGGAACATACATAGTTGTGTTTATCCTCTCCTCTTTTTCCATTCTAATAAGGTATGAGCTGTATTTCCCCCAGGAACTGAAATCTGTTGTTGTTTGAGCTTTGTGACAGCTAGAAACAGATGTTTAGCTATAGGTGTTTCTCCCATCTAGGTTTTTGGCCTTAACTTAAAGCTCCCCTTTCTGTGTATGTTAGGTAATGGAAAGAGGCTGAGGGATGGGGCAGCAGAACACTGAACAGGTGACAGGAGCCATCATGAAGTAGAAAGAGTGCAGTAACTCCCTACACTGCCTATTTTTTCAGCCAAAAGCATAGGTATGAGAGAGATAGATGATATCCTCTGTCAGCTGAACAGTATAACCCCTTTCCCACAGGAACAGGAGGAGGGAGAGGAGAATGTTTCCTTTCTGTGTGGGTTTCCTTCTATCTTATCAGCTGGTCCTGCTTCCTCAGCCTTCCTCATGCATCCCTCCCCCTGGTTTCTCCCAGTGCTATTCACAGATCTCTTAGAAGGCAAATCCTCCTTTTTCTAGCAGTTCTCTGCTAAGTGGCAGGAAACAACCCTCTCCTTCCTTTTCCTGCTTGCCCCCAGTTCTGCTTATCTGAGTTGTAGCTGTTCCTGCTGGCTGCCTCCTTTTGGCTACTACATTTTTCTGAGCAGACCAATCTATACAGAGGTGTGGGAGAGCATCATCCACAGCTCACGGGGGTCAGGGAGGGAAGGAGGATTGTCTCAAGCATTATTAGGTCACAGTCAAAACCGTGAGCTGATATGCAGCAAAGAGGGAAAAAAAGGTATAGAGAGTCAGGGAAGATATAAACCAGAGTAATCAAGCATGCCTAAATGGGATGATGGGTAGTGTGTCGCTGGGAACTGAGCAAGTAAAGCCAGCAAGCCTCAGGGTGCAGCAGGGGTTGAAGACATTTCCATGCTCCCTCTCAAGGAGGACGGATTAAAAATGATGCAGAGAAATTTTGGGAAGCCACTCTTTTCTATTCATTATATTTGTGCATTTTTCATTGTATCTACTGCAATGTCTTCTGCCCACTTCAACCCTAACCAAGTCAGTCAGATTCTTGATCTACTGAGTGTATATACCATCGTGCACATGTATCTGATATCCTCACCATTTGCAGAAGATACGGAAAAGCCTGCATACAGACACCACTGAAAACGTTTCTGGAATGCTGTCATCACCCTGCTGTGCTGGGCCTGCTGCAAGCCAGCAGCTGCAAGCCAAACATTCATTCCATCTCTGCCCTGTGTGTGGAAATGCACAGTTAAAATTGGCATGGGCACCACTGCTGTCAGGATGTGACCTGGCACGGGGATAAATGACGACTTCTGCAATGCAAATGGAGATCTGAATGCCAGGAGTCAGCTGGCTTTTTTTTTTTTTTTTTCCTTGAAAGGATTATACTACCATTCCCTTCATTCTGACAGATGGTTGAAAAGACATAAGCGTCAGAGTCCTCATGAAGTTGCTGAGATGCCTACAGATGTCCCTTGATGATTCTTCAGTGTCAGCCTGGCAAGGCCAGCAGTCCATGTGAGCTGTATAGCCATAACCATAGTGAGATGGTTACTGGTTAAGAATGTGAAGCCTTCATCAGGACCAAAGATGTGCTGGATGATTTTCATGTTACTCATATGTGCTCCTCAGCAGTTGGACTATAACCTCCAATACTGTCTTCATGCCCCTGTCCTCCCCAGCTTGGCAGGAGCTTGGTTGCAGGGCTGTGCAAAAAATCAATATAGCCTCCCCCTTGAAAACACAGAGGCTGCTGAAGCCTTCTGTGAAGGTGTGGTGCCACCTCACAACAGAGGACCTTGACAGCATCCCTTCTCAACCAAAAGTCACATTCCTGCCAGTTTGAGCACCACCTCACCAATCTGAAACCTTTTTTCAGCCATGGGCAAAGCAGTTACTGTAGCAAGGATTTGTAGCAGGATGCTGCTTGGCATCTGTCTTCAGTGAAACTGAGGTGCCAGAGGACAAGCAACAGTTCATGCAGTCTCTTCACCTTGCTCCTACCAGTTTTGACTTGAGCCCTGTGCTCCTTTCCTACTGTGCCTTGCAGAGCATTGTGTCCAGATTTGTGGTGGGATGATGCATAGGGCAGCACAAGGAGAAAAAGGCTTATTTGTGAGATTTTTATACAGAAGATGACATGAGAACTGATGCATGTTATCTGAATGACACATGAAGTCTAGTGTGGTACCTTCCAAAGGGGGCTGCTGATGAGAATTCAAAGCTTATTGGAAACTTTATTTTGGGGAAATTTTTAACTACATCTGTAGTGGAGACAGGCAATACTGTGGTACATCTAATCTGAAAATATCTCTCCAAACCAGGTATACTGAAAATGTGAGGAGTTTCTGCACAAACTCTTTTGATCTACTCGTCTGCTGCTGCTCCAAGTTACGAGCTAATGTAGACATAGCCTATTACTGAGAGAATTTGGTTAGAAGTTCTGGGGAATCCCGGAGTTAATTTTCTGGTTACATAAACTTCACTTTAAAAAAAAATATATATTTATCACTATTGTTCTCTTCCCCCAGTGCCTACAACATTCCGAGTTTTCGTGCTGGTGCTCAGTTGCTCAGCTCATTGAGTGGATATGCCTATACCAAGCGAGCATGGAAAAAGGAAGTTGTTGAGTTGTATATGGATCCAGCTTTCTTCCAGATGGACACTTCATGCACTCAGTAAGACATGAGATTGCAGCACTCCAAGATTCTATTCTAAATTTGCAAAGAAAGGCTTTAAGGGAGAATGGCTAATATTGGAAAGAAAATTCTGTTTAGCACTTACAGAATGTAATAATGATAAAAATGGGTCTCAACAACTAACTAGTAAATGCAGTAAAAACTAGTAAAAGCACTGATGTTTTCATTATACTGCAGAAGAATAAACTTGTCTCATGCTGATACTCCCCTTAGTGATTAGGGAGCTGCATACAGTAGAGCTGGAGGACCTAGAATGCAGTGTGAGTTAAACCAGATATTGAATATCATATTGAATGCCCTTGAATGTCATACTGAATGTCATACTGAATGCCAATGTATACTGAATACCATTTGGAAACTGTTTCCTTGTACGAAATATTTGACCAAAATATTTTCTGAGGTGAATCTATACCAAACCTTTCTCTGGTTACCTAATTCCTTCTATATCTTATTCAGCTGGAGATCCATTATTGATCATCTTCTAACACATGAGAAAACTATGTTTAAAGATTTGATGAGTAAGTATCAGCTTCTGATAACTTATTTCTACATTCATTTGAAATTATTTGCATTTGAGCTATTGGGTACATTTTTAATATACTAAAGTATCAATAAAATGCAGACAATGTATTTGCATAATGGAGTATGTTGCCAACTTTATTCACAGCTAAAAGCTGTGCTAAGTTAATTCTGTATTTTGGACACATCTAAAACACCCCATAAGTATTTTTGTTCTAGAAATGCTAATTCTAGAACTCCTGCATTCACATTTTGCTATGATTTTAAGTTGCCGAATTGTGACATCATTGGAGCTGCAGTGCTTGTCTCATATGTAATTTTTCTGCTAGTGTGAGCAGATCTGGATCAACACCAATTTATTATTCCAATTAGTAGGCCTAAAGAGAGTTTTTCTTTTCAAAATATTTCTGGACATGGGAATTATTTTCAGCCCAAAACACAAGAAGTCTTTATAGGGTAGGTAATTCTTATCTCTGTTACAGATATGCAGAGCAGCGCCTTAAAACTCTACCCAAGTTTTGAGCAAAAAGCAATGTTGTTAAAGCGGCAAGCTTTTGCTGTCTTTAGTGGAGAGATTGATCAGTATCATCTCTATCTTCCCTTAATACAAGGTAAGATTTTTAATTTCACCTATTTTTTTTCAGCTGTAACACATATATAAATTGTGTAAGAAAGGAATGTCACCTGTTTTCCAATACATACTTCAATTTTTTAAAAGTTTTTAACAAAATTTATGATGCTGTGAATCTCTGAATTCTAACAAATAAATAATCTCATTAAGAGGGACACAGGAATCTGGGTTTCAAAGCCTTTGGTCTGGAAATATAACTGGAAACATGATTATTTTATAGCAGTCTTCCAGACACTCTTGGACTGTTGTTGTTCTCCTTACCTGTCAGTTTTGACAAAATTTTGCCCAATTTAAAATCACCATGTCTACAGACTTTTTCTGAATCATAGTTTTGTTAATAGAGTGCAAGGGACTCAACCCAAAACTGGTGATAAAGCACAAATTTTGTTTTGCCACCTTCTACAATTTTATTTTCTGAAACAACACATGTCTAGGAAAATACTACTCTTTTTTGTTTGGTCAGGTTTTTTACCTTTGTAATGTTTATTTCAGAACGATTGACTGAGAACCTCCGTGTTGGGCAGACTTCTATAGTTGCTGCACAGATGTTTCTCTTCTTCAGGGTTCTTTTGTTAAGGATTTCTCCTCAGCATCTAACCTCATTGTGGCCAATCATGGTAACTGAATTGGTAAGGAATAAGTAGTTATTTGAAACAAATTAGTTTGTGTTTTGTCCTTTTTCACCTTTTTCTTCCTCCCAAATACACCCCTTGTTTGAAAAAGGAAATTTTTGCGTAGTTTCGCAGTAGGCTTATAATTTGGGAAAACAATTAACATTGTCATTAAGAATTACCTTGATTAATTTTGTTCTTGTTGTTACTGTAATCTATTGCATGATTTGTTAATTTGTGGCAAGTCATAAGTGTAAATAAAGAGTCCTTACGTATTAAGTTCCTTATACTACGTGGAGCATATCTTTTTTGTGATTGAGTTGTATGAACATTTCAGCATCCCATAAATAATTTATTTCTTTAAAGATTCAGACATTTCTACAGCTGGAAGAAGATTTAACTGAAGAAGATGAACCATCAAAGTAAGAATTAGCATTTGTCTGATAGAAAACTTGGGAAACCTGTTAATGATTGTGCTTGTTCGCTATCTGCAATTTTTTATTCACTTAATTAATTAATTCTCTGGGATAGCGAAGAGACAGTGGGATAGCTAAAATAGCAATATGTTAAAAAATATAAGTATCATTTATTAATTGCATACAAAAATAGAAGAGGTGCTAAGTCAGCATTTGAATATTTTAACATGTTGCCATTAAAAAAAAAATTTAGATTACTTTTTCTTCTAACAGCCTTTTATATTAATCATAGTACTCATGCAGAATAAAAATAGGTTTTGTTGTGCATAAGTTCAAGTGCTCATTTGTGCAAATGTGTCCATTTCTCTTTTGGAGAATGAAAAACATTTAGTGGTTTTATGTTTTAATGGTATGTTTCTTAATTGTAACTAACACAGGAGCAACAGCAAAATAAGCAAACAGAAAGTCTCAGGTGATGGCAGTGGATCTGACATACAGCAGAATGAGTTGTCCTTGTATTTATCAGCTTGTAAATTTTTGGACACAGCACTTTCATTTCCACCTGACAGGATGCAGTTGTTTCAAATGTAAGTCCTCTAATTACTTACCTGTTCTCCAGGTTGTTACCATTCTTATCCTTTAAAGTAATTCCACGTCGATTTTCTTCTAGACTTAATTTTGCCATCAGAAGTGCAAATGCTGATACTTAAG